CTGGGTAGTCATTGTTGTGCAGGATAAGGTTGAATAACTTTGGAAGCCATCTTCAACTGGATGTGTTTTGCTTCAGTTGAGACAACATCCTTCACATCTGTGCCCCATTCATAGGAAAGGTTGGAAGTTCAAGAATCTTTATTATCACCAAGGGGCAAGTTGTTTCACAGTCAATAGGCACAAAAAACATCCATACTAGACAAAACATGCAGACATTAAAATAACAGAAATCACTACTGTTCATTGAGAAGCCTGATCGCTACAGGGATGATTGAGTTTTTCAGTCTGTTTGTTCTACATCTGGGCAGCAGATACCTGCATGCAGATGGAAGCAACCTGAACTCACCATGGAGTGGGTGATCAGGATCTGCCAGAATCAGCCTGGCCTTGTTCACTGACCTTGCCTTATGTAGGATGATAGCAGATTTAATTGAGAGATGATTCATTTTACTCAGAACTAAACTGGAACCAGCTTTAGGTGTTGCGTTAGTTTGCAGAGATTTTACTATAAACTCATTGTTCCCTCTTAAATGCTGGTCATCCTGGTTATTGTCATGCTTATTTCTATTTTAAATAAAAACTTATAAAAATGTATTAGTTTCTTAACATTTGTGCAGAGAGAGTATTATTTGTTTTCTTTGACAAAGTGTTGTAAAAAGAGCATGCAAATTGCCAATTTGCTCTCCGATGCTTATTTTTGTGTCTCGCCAGCACATTTCTCTCTGCTCATGACTTCATCATTCCAGTACATGTCAGATGTAAACTGCATATCAAGCTCATACGATGGAAAAAGGTGATTTGAATGTCTCTTTATTGACATTAACAGCAATTAAAAGGAAACATTTGTACAAAAGACCACATTAAAAAGGATTTGAGGTTGCTCTGTTAACTGATTTGATATGAATTATGACCACTGTACAACACTACTTGCAAGTCTGTGTGTAAATGTTTTACATACTGACGATGTGAAAAAAAACTATACAGTTTTTTAATAATCATTGTGTTTATGGATAATGTGTTAATTTTAGTGATTTTTTTTCTTTTTGTGTATAAGTTAGCTGTAAATACTGTGTAAATGGAAAGGTACTGTAAAGAAAATAAGATTATGTGAATAATGCTCACTAGCACAGTTCCATAGGATCTGAGTGTCATACGATTATTAGGAAAAAAGCAACATTTCTATTATTTTTACTATTTCTTTATTTTTGTATTCTTGCCTTAACCATCCATCATAGTTTGTCTTTTCACTGTTTTAGGATTTGATTTATATGTATCTCAGATTAATGTCCTTCACTAAAACTCAACAAATACAAACTTTGAATATTAAAATGAGTGAAAAACAAGTCTTTTAAATATTTGCCTGCTGAGAACAAGCTGGGAAGGACTATTCAATGCGTTAACTAGTTTCTTTTTTGTTGTTGTATATTTATATTTACTAATGCTTTTGTATGATCTGAACCACAAAATGAAACGATACACATGTAATGTAATATTGAAAACAAAAAAAAAGTTTTTTTTTTTTGTGTATGTCTATGCCAAAAAGTCATTGTGTTACTCCATTTTTTTAAGACAAAAAGAAAGCAATTTCAGATCTAGCTGCTGACATGTTTTTTTTTTTCTGTACTGAACTCTGTTAATTTTACAAATTAGAGTGGCCAATGTACTTTCACTCAACGGGTTAAATGTCATTTGAAGACTGTGTTGTGATAAGAGTTTGATGTAAACAAATATTTCAGTTAATAAATATTTCAGTTTATCACTTTACTTGCTCTTAGTGGGAGGATGATGATGATGATGATGATTGGGACAAGGGCAGAAATTCCACCTCATTATTAATGGAAGGGGGTCAGTAAAAACAATATTTTAAGAGCATTTTTTGGGTGTCCCTTACAATACCGTGAAATGTATTGTTGTAAAACAAAATGAAAGTTAAACATATTACCGTGTTCACCAGGTAGACAATGTGCAGAAACTAACCTAAACTAATCAGAGCACTGACTGAACGTCTTTTTTTTTAATAAACATCATTTAGATGGTAAGAACAGATTGCTAAGCATCTGATATGCATCCATACACAATAATAAAGTCTAAAATGAAAAATGTATCAAAACCACAGAGAGACATATGCAATGGTCCGATGTTGTCATGTAAACGTGTAAACTAAAATTTTGACGTCATTAGGATTTTTAATGTTCTCACTCTGCAGGATGAATAATGTGGAGAAGCTGTCAATGTACATCAAAAATGGGTCATTCAAAATATTGTTTAGAATAATGTTGAAGACCGTTTATTTTTTATTTAAATTACTTTCTGTGGTCATTGAATAATTGTCACTGATCTTAAGTTCAAGTTGTGTTTGTTATATGTAAGCTTAATGTAAAGTTAACAGTACAATGCTCAGGATCAGAAGAACCGATAGGACTCGATTAAAAAATATAAAATAAATCCAAGAACAACAAAGAAATACTAAGCATGCAATAAGGGTACAAAAATAAAGTACAACAAAGAGAAAAAGTAATTATAATATTTATGTCCTAAAGAGAGATGGTAAACAACACCATGGTAGAATATAACGGTGCAGCAGGATGAATTTGACTGAATAAGTATTTCAAGGTAGTAATATATGCTAAAATGCACTATGTATATATATATATATATATATATATATATATATATATA